CCAGCGAGTGCAGAGCTTGCAAAGTTCACAGTCTGCTGAGAAGGCTGACAGGCTGGAGAACTGACAAAGAGCTGCAGTTTGCGTCCAAAGGCAGCGTGCTGTCAGAATTTCTTCCTGCTTAGGGGAGTCAGCCTTTTACTCATCAGCCCTTCAACTGATCAGCTAAGACCCACCAAATATGAAGCAGGGCAAACTGCTTCACTCCCAGCCTACTGACTTCCACAGTTGTCCCATCTAAAAATATGCAGACTCATGGTTCACTATGTATCACGGTCCTGGCACTTACTCCAGACAATACACAACAGTGGCCATCACACCTAGATCCTGTTACAAGGAGGACAGGAAGGCCCTGCCGCAGACACCCCCCAACGCCTAGAATGTGGGCCCTGCTAGCATTACGTCACTACCTTTCTCTTTGAATGTTTCTTGTATTTATTGGAAAGGAAGAGCAACAGAGGAAGAAAGGGAGAGGGAGATGAAGGGAGGGATGGAGGAAGAGACAGAGAGAGAGAGAGAGAGAAGAGAGATCGATCTTCCCTCCCCTGCTTCGCTTCCCTTGCCAAATGGCTGTGACAGACAGCACTGGGCCAGGCCAAAACCAAGAGCCAGGGCCTCCGTTCCCATCTTGCACCCACATGCTTGGCCAGCCTCTGCGGATTTCCCAGTGCTTTAGTAGGAAGCTAGGTGGGAAGTGGAGCAGCTGAGACTGCAAGTGGTGCTCTGATGTGGGATTCAGGTGGCTTAACCAGCTGCATCCCATCTGCCCTAAATTCCTGTGATGCAGGTTAGGGCGCTAGGAAGAGTGACAGCCTCCTCCTTCCCACTTTGCTTTATTTGGCCAGTCTAGGGGACAGCGTGTACCCTGGCATGCTCCAGGCTGGAGCTTCCCGCCTTGGGATATGGCCACCAAAGGAAGGAAGGGTTCACACGCAGCACCGGATTTCTCCAGCAGAGTGCTTACAGGGGCACGGGCCCACGGGAGCAGTACACGGAGCGGAGTTCTCTCATTGAGGGAGTCATGCCATGTAAACCTCTTAAGCAGCCAAACAGTGTCACCGAATGCAGTGAGCCAGCGGATGGAAGATCCCCCCTCCCTGTGACTCTTTCAAGTAAATAATTAAATCTTAATCCATAACTTTAAAAGTAAATAAACTCCTGGCTCCTGGCTTAGGTCTGTTCCAACCCCTGCTGTTGCGGCCATCTGGGCAGTGAACCAGTGGACGAAAGACCTCTCTGTCTGTCTCTGTCTCTGCCTTTCCGTCCCTCTACCTTTCAAACAAACCCATCTTTAAAAGAATTTGTTTTGAATTATTTTGTGACCCACCCTATGCTCTGTCCTGGAGAATGGTCCATGTGTACATGTCCCATGGGTATTCTAAAGCTAGTGAATGGAACATTCTGCAGATATTTGCCAGGTCTAACTGATCTGATGCAATAGGACTCTACATTTGGTTGATTTTCTGTCTAGATATAACGGAGCGCTAGAGTAATCTACTCTTATTGTATTGGAGTCTGTCTCCCTTGTGGTATATTAATATTTGCGTTATGTATTCAAGTGCTCCAGTATTGGGTGCATATGTTTTGACAAGTGTTTTCTTCTTTATTTAGTAATTCTTTTTAAACATTTTGTATTTTCTTTGCAAGGCAGAAACAGACAGAGAAACTGACAGAGAGATTGAAGCTTGTATCTGCTGGTTCACTCCCCAAATGCCCCTAACAGTCAGGGTTGGGCCAGGCCAAAGCCAGGAATCTGGAGCTCACATCAGGTCTCCCCTATGAATATTAGAGCCCAAGTACTTGAGCCATCATCTAATGCCCCACAGGGTCACACAACAGTAGGAAGCTGCGTCTGACACGGAGCCAGGACTCAAACCAGGCACTCTGATGTGGCAGCAGGTGGCAAGTTAACCACTAGACCCAATTCCTGCCCCAGGGAGTGTTAGTCCTTCTTGCTGACATGGGGGCTGTAGCATGATATAGTGCCCTTCCTTTTCCCTGTGCACTGCCTCAGATTTTAAATCTGCTTCATTTCATGGAAGGATGGCCACTCTTGCTCTTTTATTCCACTGGCATGGAGCATCGTACTCCACCCTCTCACTCTAGGCATGGCCTTAGAGGTGAAGTGAGTTTCTTGTAAGAAGCAATAGTAATTGTATTATCTACTTGACAACCAGAGTTATAGAACGAGGTGGATACAGACAAAGAGAGAGGGTCTCCCATCTGCTGGTTCACTCCTCAGATGGCCACAAAGGCAGGAGCTGTGCAGAGCCAAAGCCAGGCACCAGGAGCTTCCTCCAGGTCTCCCACGCGGGTGCAGGGGCCCAGGGACTTGGGCCATCTTCCACTGCTTTCCCAGGCCATAGCAGGGAGTTGGATTGGAAGTGGAGCAGCTGGGAATTGAATTGGAGGTCATAGGGGATGTGGGTGCTGCATCCAGGGCTTTAACTCACATTGCCTGTTTGTTTTCTAAAGAGCCAGGAGGGCCTGGCCCACACACACCCTGCCTGCAGAAAGTGTCAGGTGGACCACCCGCAGGAAGTCTCCCCGCCCCCACTCTTCTCTGGTGTACCAGCCTCCTCTGACCCCTTCCCGACCCAGGGCCGTGCCCCCGACAGGGTCGTGAGGAAAAGGCACGCCTGAGAAGAGGGCACCAAGGGCCGACCTGCGCAGCTCCCGGACTCTCTGAGCCAGGGCCTGTGCCACACCGGGGACGAGCGAGCGCTGGTGGCGTTTAGGGGCGCGAGGCTGGAGACTCGCGGCTTTGCCTCTGCCCCTGATCGGGCCGGGGGTTCGGGTAGGGGGTGTGGGCGGGCTGGACGCTGGACCGCGCGACCCCACTCCCCATGGCGCGGCTTCGGGTCTGCCCCCGGGCGAGCGCGTGCACGCTTGCCCTCTTGGCTGCGCGGTCCCATTTCCCCCACCGCTCCTCCCACCCCAGGCCGCCCCAGGCGGCACCGCACTGCCCTGGCATTCGCTGGCGCCTTGGCAGCCGCCAGGATGGGTTTGCTGCCCGGAGGGGGTAAGGAAAGAGGCAACCCGCCACCACCCCTGCCCACCAGCTGCGTGCAGGCCCGCGGGACAAACCTTTGAGTCAGGGCTGACTTTCAATAGATCACAGCGCGGGAGCTGCTCAGCATGTGCCTAACCCTCCTACACCTGGTGTAGCGCTGGGTTCCCTGCCAACGTGCTGGTGTGACCGTCGAGGGGGCTGCCACCTTTCCGGCACACCCTGTTTTCAGGACCCAGTTCTCTCGTTACCGACCCCTCCCTTCGAGGGGTGGGGCCCGTTGGCACCGCCTAGGAGAGCATGTAGTGGTGTCGCAGGTAGCAAGGGGCGGACTGCTGTCCCAGGCCAACGGAGGCTGCTTCTGCGCTGCCCACCTATCTATGTTCCCTAGGTGAGAAGACCCGAGTGTAGAGTTATAGATGCTTTTCTTTGACCATTGAGGTACCACGTGAAGAAGAACGTTGTCATTATGCTTTATGTAATGACGAATATTCCCGTAGTCCATATTTTGAAGAGATCCACACTCCAACATAAGGATCCAGAAAGTATTCAACATAAAGTACTGAAAAGTGACAAGTGGTAGGAAACAAGCTATGACAAAGGCAAAGTGGAGGCATAATTTGTAAACTGGTGATATCTCACTTATATTGTGTACAGGCTGCAACGTGAAGACTTTGTACCATTACTATTTTAATTTCAGAAACTACGCCTGGGGCATGTGTTTAGTGCCATGGTTAAGATACCACTTGAGATGCCTGCATCCTGTATCAGAGTACCTGGGTTCAAGTTCCCACTCCTAATGTATACTGCCGGAGGCAGAAGCAGATGGTTCACGTACTTAGATTACTGCTACCCATGTGGGAGACCTAGATTAAGTTTCAGGCTCCTGTCTGTCCCAGCCCTGGCTTTAAATTAAATAAAGGTAAATAAATAAAAATTACTTTAATTTTTATTTAATGTAAATGATTTCAACAGAATGTGAGATTCTGTGCTATCCTTTTCTGGAAGTGAAAATTACCAGCTTACCTCCGTGAAGAGCGTGGACAAGGAGCACCTAGTATGAGCTCTGTGAGGAATGCACTGCGCACACGGGCTGACGTGCACCACACTGCAGGTTTGAGACTCCCAGCACAGTGCACCTTCGGGAAGGAGAACAAACAGGATGGCGTACGGAAGGACAGATGCAATCAGAGTAGGAGCTGTGAAAAGGCCCAGTTCACATTCATCTGTGTGCAAATCATAAACCGGATCACAGGCTGTGAAAACGTCCAAATGATTGGGAATATGAAGTCAACTTTAAAATCTATTTCTTGGGGCCGGCGCTGTGGCATAGCGGTTAAACTGCCGCCTGCAGTGCCGGTATCCCATATGGGTGCCGGTTCCAGTCCTGGCTGCTCCACTTCCGATCCAGCTCTCTGCTACGGGCTGGGAAAGCAGTAGAAGATGGCCCAAGTCCTTGGGGCCCTGCACACGTGTGGGAGACCTGGCGGAAGCTCCTGGCTTCAGATCGGTGCAGTTCTGGCCGTTGCAGCCATCTGGGGAGTGAACCAGCAGATGGAAGACCTCTCTCTCTCTCTGCCTTTCTCTCTGTAACTCTTTCAAATAAATCTTTAAAAAAATAAAATGTATTTCTTGCCTCCTTTCCTTACCTCTTCTTCCCCCTTCCTTCCTTCCCTCCTCCCTCAACCCTCAGGAACCAGCAGTTACCTCTCACAAAGCCTTTGTTTGTGTCATGCCACATGTCTGCTTCTGCAGGCCTCCAGTCAGAACATCTGACAGAGTCACTGTCTCCAAAGGCAGTCCCTAGAAGTCTGCAACCTTCTCATTGGAACTCATTGATGAACTACTGATGGGGCCAAGCCTGCTGTATCTGCTAGGGACAGCTAGGGAGAAGTGCGTGCGGAAGGGAGGAGCAGGGCCTTTCAGCCTGGCCCTGTTGGCTCATGGCTGGGACAGAAGTGCAACCCAGAACACACGACATGCAATGCTATTCTTTATTATGAACATAAACAGCAACATTGGGTGGGAAAAATGAACAAAACATTTGGCCTTTTTGATGGTTATGCTACCAGCCTACAAGTGAAGTTTAGCCATCTTGGAAAGCCAGGCCTCCAATCCCAGTCATGGTTGTGTCCTCAGGCTGGAGAAAAGTCAGAGATGATGATGTGGATGAAGATGATGACGACATCTGAGGGCTCTTTCTAGGGCATGTGCCTGAAAGCCTCCTGTGGGATCTTGCTCTGGGTCTGGAGGGAAGCAGTAAGGATGTCAGAAGAATCAACGGACCTGAGTTCCATCCCCAGGGCACCTGGCCTCCACCTTCCTCAACACCCATAGACCTCCAGGCCTCACCAGGAGGGTAATGAAGATATTCTTGGCTCTGATGTAGTTCCATCCGTTGTCCTCAAGGCACCTGGAGTGGGAGAACAGGTGACCTCTGTCATCACCACAGAACACACATACCAATCATGAAATGCCATCCCTTCGCTCAACGCTACTCTTTAACTGGGACACATGAAAGGCCAGAATGAGAACTGCTCCAACAATGAAGGAAACCTTTTGAAAAACCCGTGTCTGTCACTACCATCCATGCTACTGGAATTCACAGCAGAAGAACAGAGGTTGTAAACCAAGTGAGTCAGGTGTTTGGCACAGTGGCTAACACACTGCTTTTCATGCCCACGTCCCATATCAGAGTGCCTGGGATGCAGTCTGCCTCTCCTTCCGATACAGCTTTCTGCTAATGCACACGAAGCAAGGTAGCAGAAGATGCCTCAGATACTTGAGTCCCTGGTACCCAAAAGGAAGACCGGGATCAAGTTCTTGGCTCCTGGTTTTGGACTGACCCAGACATGGCTATTGTGGGCATTTGGAGAGTAAACAGACAAGTGGAAGCAGCTCTCTGTCACCATACCTTTTACACAAATAAAAAAAAAAATTACTCCTCTCCTAACTTAAACAAGCAAAAAGGGAGGGGGCCAAGGTGGTTGAATAGAGAGGCTCTGAATCTACCTCAACTAGAAAAAAGATTCAAAACAAAGAGGGAAGAACCACATTTCCAGAAGATTGTCTGAGGGGAAACTTTAGTAAAGAAGTGTCAGGAACCACTGCCACCTGCAGCTTCCTGGCTGGGGGAGGGGAGCACACATCTTTCCAGGAAAAGGGTTTTATATATGAAGTATTAGAATTGAGGAGACTTGCTGAGGGGAAAACTTCAGTCCGGAAGTGATGAGATCTGCAAACAGCACAGACTCTGACCACCAGTAAAGAAAGAGAAACAAAGCAATCCACCCACTGTCCTCCCTCTCTTCCCTCCCCATTCCACTGCCTGGAGACAGAGCCAACAGGACCTACCCTGAGGGATGTAGGGAACAGCCTATTTGCATTCTAGTGCTCCAGACCCACACCTGCCAGTCAACTTGTGGGACTGGGGAAAGGTCCAGTTAGCATCTTCCAGTGCTGAAACTTGAGCTCTTTGTTGCCGTAAGCCCAGTAACAGTCAGGTTAGCACAGCAGGGCAAGGGGAAAGTCTAGTCACATCACACAGTCCAAAGACTATAGATACTGGTGCCACAGACCCAGAAGTACTCACGCTTGCCTGGCAGCACAAGGGAGACAACCCTCTTTGTGTCTCACAAAAGAAATGCAGCTACAGCCATCATAAACACTAGTGTAACTGAGACCCAACTCTCTGAGGACTAAAGACACACTCTTTTGGAAGCTCAGCCCCACTTCAAATTCATACTACTGCCTCCACAAACTGCTGCTGTCTAGACAACGATGGCACTTGTAGACACTGCTGACACTGATGACTGCTGGAGAAATTCCTCAGCCTTACAATACATCATCCTACCTTAGAAGTAAACATCACAAAAAGCCATGATGGTACCAAACTCACTAACAGAGCAGACATGATCATTGATTGACCAACAAAATGGCAAGCACAAGTTGTTACCTATCATTATTAACTTTGAATGTAAATGGAAAATATACCCCAGTCAAAAGATGTAGGTTAGCTGAGTGGATAAGAAAACAACACCCAACTATTTGCTGCTGACAAGAAACACACTTCATAGGTAAAGATAGACATAGAATTAAAGTGGTAGCTTGAAAAAAGATATACTATGCAAATGGAAAACCAAACAAGCAGGAATATCCATACTCAGATCAAACAGACTTTAAACCCAAAACTGTAAAACTAGATTAAGAAGGACATTATATATTGAAAAAAAAGGATCAATTCAGGAAGAAAATATAATAATTATAACTATGTACTTAACACAAGACCACCTAGATACATACAGCAAATATTGTTAGATTGAAAGGGAGAGATAGACTCCAATTTAATAACAGTGGGGATTTCAGCACCCCACTGCCATCAATGGACATATCATCCGGACAGAAAAGTCAACAAAGATATATTAGAGTTCAGCAATATTCCTGAGCAAATGGACCTAACAGATGTTTACAGAACATTTCACCCAACAGCTACAGAATACACACTCTTATCACCACATGCAACATTTTCTAGGGCAGACCACATATTAATCACAACTCAAGTTTCAGAAAATGTAAAAAGATTGAAATTATACCATGTATCTTCTCAGACCACAAAGGAATAAAAATAAATAAATCAACAACAAGGACAGTAGAAAATTCACAGATACATGGAAATTAGACATACTACTGAATGACCAATGGATCACTGAAACTAAAAAGGAAATAAAAACTTCTTTAAACAAATGAAAATGAAAACAGAATATATCAAAACTGATAGGCTAGAGCAAAAGCAGTACCATGGGGGAAGAATATACTGATAAGTGTTTCTACTGACCAAATAGAAAGATCTCAAACTATCTAATAATGTTTCTCAAGGACTTAAAAAAGCAAGAACAAATCAAATCCCAGATTAGCATGAGGCAAGGAAAAATAAGAATCACAGGAGAAACAAATGAAATTGAAACAAAAAAATCAACACAAAAGGTCAACAAAATGAAAAGCTGGCTTTTTGAGAAGATAAACAAAATAGATAAACCTTCAGCCAGGCTGAAAAAGAGAAACAGAGAAAACACTCTAACACAATTAGAGACAAAAAAGGAGACATTACGGCTAATACTACAGAAGTATAAAGGCTCATAAGAAACTACTATGAACAACCATATGCTGACAAACTGGAAGGCCTCACAGAAATGGATACATATAATCTACCAAGAGTAAATCAAGAAGATATAGATTATCTAAACAGACCCAAAAGAACAAGATTGAAGCAGTAATTAAAAGTCTCCCATCAAATAAAAGTCAAGGACTTGATGGCTTTACTACTGAATTCTGCAAAACATTTAAAAGGGAGCTAACTCCAATACTTCTCAAACTATTTCAACATACTGAAAAGGATGGAACTCTGAAAATCACTCTTTACACAGCCAGGGTCACTCTGATATCAAAACCAAACAAAGACACAACAAAAAAAGAAAACTATGGAACAATATCCTTGGTGAATATAGATGCAAAAATTCTCAACAAATTTTAGCAAACTAAATCTAACACTACATCAAAAAGATCGTACACCATGATCACGTGGAATTTATCTAAGAGAAGCAAAGGTGGTTTGACCTTTGCCAATTAATAAATGTCATAAATTACAACAAAATCAATATGATAATCTCAATAGATGCAGAGAAAGCATTTGGTAATATTCAGCATCCCTTCATAATAAAAACCCTGAAAAAATTAGGTACAGAAGGAACATATCTCAAACTTATAAAGGCTGTATATGACAAACCAACAACCAATATCGTACTGAATGCAGAAAAGCTGAAAACATTTCCCCTCAGGTCTGGAACAAGACAAGGATATCCACTTTCTACTTTTATTAAATATAATATTGGAAGTATTAGCAAGAGCAGTTAGGGAGGAGAAAGAAATAAAGGACATAAAAATTGGTAAGGAGGAAGTCAAAATATTTATGTTTGCAGATGACATGATGTTGTATGTGGAAAAACCTAAACACTTCACTTGATATACTAATTCAGTAAAGTTGCATAAAACATAGTGCTTTTATGCAACAATAATGATCTCACTGAAAAAGAAATCGAGAAAGAAATCCCATTCACAACAGCTATAAAATCAAATATTAATAATAAATTTAAGAAGACTAGTCAAAGATCTCCACAATGAAAATTACAAAAACACTGATGAATGAAATCATCAAGTACACCAAAAAAATGGAAAGATACTCTTTGTTTATGGACTGGAAGAATATCATTAAAATGTCTATACTACCTAAAGAAATCTACAGATTCAACTCAATCCCTATCAAAAAACCAATGACATTCTTTACATAATTAGAAAAAAAAAACTATCCTAAAATTCACAGGGACTCACAAAAGATCCAAAACAGGCAAAATGATCCTGGGCAAAAAAGATAAAAAAAAAAAAAACTTTTTAAAAAAATCAAGCTGGAGGCATCACAATACCTGATTTCAAGCATACTACAAAGCTATGGTAATCAAAACAGCATGATTCTGGCATAAAAACTGGCACATAGGTAAATGGAACCGAACAGCAAGCCCACAAATTGATCCACACACAAGAAGCCAACTGATTTTGTGCAAACTTGCCAAAAACATACACTGGAGAAAGGATAGTCTACTCAACAAATGGTGCCAGTGAAACTGGGATGAAATTTGGTCCATATCTCCCACCGTATACAAAAATCAACTCAATATGGATCAAGGACCTAAATGTAAGACCTAAAATTATGAAACTGCTAGAAGAAAACTTAGAGGAAACATCTCAAGACACTGACGTAGGTGACGGCTCCGTGTATAAAACCCCAAAGGTAGAGGCAACAAAAGTAAAACAAGACAAACAGGATTATACCAAACTCAGAAGCTTCTGCAAAGCAACGGAAACGATCAACACAGTAAAGAAACATCCAACAGTACTGGATAAATTATTTTCAAGCTACTCATCCAACAAAGGATTAATATCTAGAATATATCAGCAACTCAAAAAACTCAATAAAAAAAATCCAGTTAAGAAGTGGGTAATGGACCTGAATAAGCAATTCTCAAAAGAAGAAATACAAATGACCAACAAATACATGAAAATAATGCACAATATCACTAGCTATCAGGGAAATACAAATCAAAATCACAACGAGCTATCAGCTTGCCCGTGTTAGAATGGCTATTATCAACAAGACAAAGAGTAACAAATTCTAGTGAGGATGTAGAGAAAGGGGAACTCTAATCTTACATACTGTTAATGGAAATTGTAAATTAGTGCAGCCATTGTGGAAAACAGTATGGGGATATATTTGAAAAATAGAAAAGAAACTGCCAAATGATCCAGCAATCCCACTAATTAGCATATACCTAAAAGACACGACCACATTGTATCAAAGAAAGATCTGCTCCACCATTGTTTATAGTAGCTCTATCCACTGTAGCCAAAACATGGAATAAAAAACCAAGGTGTCCATTCTCAGATAAATGGATAAAGAAAATTATATATATATATATAAAAAATGCATGCATATATACATATATACACAATGGAGTAATAGTCATCTATAAAAAGAAGAATGGGGGGCCGGCGCTGTGGCACAGTGGGTTAACGCCCTGGCCTGAAGCACCGGCACCCCATATGGGCATCAGTTCGAGACCCGGCTGCTCCACTTCCCATCTAGCTCTCTGCTATGGCCTGGGAAAGCAGTACAGGATAGCCCAAGTCCTTGGGCCCCTGTACCCACGTGGGAGACCCGGAAGAAGCTCCTGGCTCCTGGTTTTGGATCAGCACAGCTCCATCTATTGCGGCCAATTGGGGAGTGAACCATCGGAAGGAAGACCTGTGTGCGTGTGTGTGTGTGTGTGTGTGTGAGTAACTCTTTCAAATAAATAAATAAATCTTTTAAAGAAAGAAGAAGAAGAATGGGATCCTGTCATTTGCAGTAAAATGGATGGCACTGGAGGACATAATGTTGAGTGAAACAAGCCAAACACCTAAAAAGAAATACTGTATGTTTGAGGATGACGCTGTGGCGTAGCAGGTGAGGCCAACGACTGCAGTGCCAGTATCCCATAGGGGCACTAATTCGAGTCCCAGCTGCGCCACTTCCAATCCAGCTCTCTGCTATGGCCTGGGAAAGCAGTAGAAGATGGCCCAAGTCTTTGGGCCACTGCACCCACATGGGAGACCCAGAAGAAGCTCCTGGCTTCTGGCTTCGGATCAGTGCAACTCCAACCATTGCGGCCATCTGGGGAGTGAACCAGCGGATGGAAGACCTCTCTCTCACTCTCTCTCTGCCTCTCCTTCTCTCTCTGTGTATCTCTGACTTTCAAGTAAAAAATAAATAAAAATCTTTTTAAAAAAAAGTATGTTCTCTTTTTCACAGGTCTGCTCTTTTTGTATGGAAATAAAATATTCACATAGTTCTTTTCCCAAGTGCATGTGTTTCCATTTTTCACACCACTGCTGGACCAACTCCCCCCTACTCCCAGGCACAGGCAGCACTCACTTCTGAGACCACTCGAGCTTCATCCCAGACTGCATGTAGAAAGCCTGCACCATTTTCTGTTGCAGCTGGTTCAGGTCGGCCATTGTGTTAGAGCCAGGTATGGCTCCTAGAACAGAGCTGTTATGGATAACAGGCATGACATCTCTCACAAACAGCTGGTCATTCAGGATGCACAGACTGGAAAAAAAAATGATTCCTCAAACAACTGCACAGATGGTCCATCCCACAACCCTAAGAACAGGAGCCTGCATAACCACTGCCACTCGGCACCCAGACTCCTTCCGTATCCTTACTGTGCCTGGCTCCCAAGTTCCTTAGCTAAAGCCCTCTAACCTTTGCACAGAGCCCACCTTTGGAGATACCATTTACCAGCTGCACTTGATTTGTAGACTTAATCCCAATGCCTCTGTCCTGTATGACAGTGCAAGGGAGTAGATAGTCTTATTTTCAAAGGCAGGCGCTAAATCACAGAAAGGTCAAGTAATTTGATTAGATCACATTGAAAATGAGTGCTGAGGTCAGGAAGAGATGCCTTATTCTGACATTCTGACTCCAGAGCCCATGGTATTAGCCACTAGGCCACACTGCTCCTTGGATCTTCCCAATGTTGAAAATATCCTGAGGCCCATACCACCGCATTCCCATGGCACTGGCCTAGACAGGAATAAGTGTTCCCACCAGCAACACAGTACTTACCTAGAACTGCTTCTAGGAGCAGTGATGAAGATCCGGGTGAAGATAAATGCAGAATCCCAAGAATTACTTCCTATTTAAAGGGCAATAAACAATAACCCCTTAGAGTTGCACAAGCTTTACATATTCACACAGCATTCCCAGTCAGGGTCTTCACTTGAAGGGTTTCAGACAGAGAAAACTGTTCACTTGGAGTCAGGAGAGCACAGAGGGAATGGAGAGGGCAACAACTGGAAGCATCTACCCCAGGTAACTGGATCCTTGTCATGTACTGGGCCCTGGAACAAGCCACCTCACAACTTCACTTGATTCCTGTTTCTCAGCTGCCCAAGAATTAGAGACAGTATATTTAGTAAATGGGGACACTGAGGCATGAGATAACTGGCTCAGGGTCACAGAGTAAGGACCTGAGATGGTGCCCTCAAACTCCACACAGTTTGTGTCCTTGATGCCAAGCTGGGTGGATGGGCAGGCACGGGCCTAGAGTGGACCAGGGTGGTTTGTGGGCAGAATAGGGGCAGAACATGGAAGGAAGAACAAGCAGGAAGGGAACAGATTCTGGAAAGCTGGGTGAGTTCTGAAGGGAAGCCCAGTGAGAGGGAGTGGTGGGGGCTTTGAGGAGGTGACTCTACAGACACTCACCTCCCTTGAACACCCCGTTGACAGAAAAGCAGAGCGCAGTTCCCTGAAAGGGAAGAACTTGGGCACTCAGGATCCTCCTCCACCTGCCACCCAGCCCCAGCCCGAGGGAGGAAGCAGGTGCTCACCATCTGGAACCACATGTCCATTGAGAAGGAGATGAAGTCATGCTGAGTTCTGGGCAACACATTGAGGGTGTTCACAATGTCCCAGTTTGTGTGCTTCAGCATCTGCCTTCGCAGGTCTGCACAAGGAAATCAGAGGTTCTGGGCTGCCACACTCTGGCCCTCAGCCCCTACAACTGTCACCTTCAAAGTCTCCTACCCTGCTTAGTCTTCCCCATCATACACTTACAGGGGTCCTGGAGATACATCATATTCCTGCTGTCCTTGAAATACTCACATAAGCCACTCCTAGAAGATAAAGAGGAACAGCAAGAAGTGGTGGTCCAGGCAGTGCAGGTATTTTCAAGAGCTGACCTGTGTCTGCCTGGGAGCTACACTGCCCCAGGCAGAGTCTGAATCGCAATACTCACGGGACTGGGTCCATGGGATCAAAAGGAATGGTCAGGGAGAAGCAGGCCTTCTCGTGGTAAGTACGAAGGAGACTCCGGCGATCTCCATAGTCATAGATGAAGTAATACCTGTGGGGCAGCAATGAGAACAGGCTATCTCTGTGGTCTAGGCCCCCATGAGGCTTGAAAACTGTGAGAAGACCTGAGTTTGGGTGGGCTGCCTGTTCCAGGCTTCCCCTTCCTAGTAGTTCCAGAGGTACTTACTCCTGCAGGAAGCGCAAGATCAAACTCTTCAGCATTTCAGTTTCTTTTGGGGGTTCCTGGAACAAAAAGTCATTTTAGATCACATGACTGATAAAGCCTCCCTTGCAACATCCCAAATCCTGCTTGGTCCTTCCTCCTTACCGGGAAGGGTTCTACTAACTGCAGTTCATTAGTGTCAACGCCAACTGGCAAGGGTAACACTATGCCATCCTGGGGAAGAGAAGAGGAAGTCAGCATTGGAGACCAGAGAGGTGGCACTGGATCACCCAGGAAATGAACGGGGCCAGAGGGGAGCAAGGATCAGAGTCCAGGCAAGAAACAGACCCAAAAATTCCACGGGTAAGATTACAGGGGACATCTGAATTGTAAAGTCCAGGAAATGCCTATTATATGCAACTTTTGTGTGTGCATGTACATCTTTATGGATATATTTTCTAGGCAATTTCTTTCTCAGTAATTCATGTCTCTAAAACAGGTAAGAGTATGATGCAATAGTGTAATCTGTACAAGTCCTAAAGGGCTTGGGGGCAGGTGTGGAAACAGTATACATACTAAGAGAAAACAATGATTATTGTAGTAGGTACTTACCAGGCGTAACAACTTGGGGAAACAATCTCGGATGGCACTACCCAAAACCACAAAGAGAATGGAGTGATTAACAGGAAAAATGTTGCACAGTCTCTCGATGTCTGCCTCTTCCTCTCTCTCTCCCCCTCCTTCCCCTGGGTATCTCCCACCTACATTGTCCTGAGCCCCTTCTCCAGGGCCACAACAAGTCTCATTGGGAGCTTGGGCTTTCCCTTCTCTCCCTTCTCTCCTCGCCTCCATCAGGTCCCCTTGGAAAGCACTGCAGGAAGTAGGGAATGGTATGGGAGCCCAGGCCTCTGCTACTTCTCAGAGTGTCCACCATTCTGCCAAGCATGGACTGGACAAGACCAGCTCATCCCCCAGGGATGGCCCAGGAGGCAGCTGGGTCAGGGAAGGGAGTGAGGCAGGGCTCTGGTGGCAGGAAGAGGAAGGCATAGGGACGATAAGAGAAAGGGAGGGAAGGAAGGTAGGCCAGGGAGAGGTGGGGGAGACGTAGGAGAGTAGAGACAAGGGAGGGAGAGGAAGCAAAGAGAAGAGGAAGAGACTTGACCATGGTAGTGGGGGTCAGGGAGGAAGAGAGCAGAGAGTGGCTTCCCTGCTGTAGCCCTTCTCTTCAGCTAATGCTGGGTGGACCTGAAGGCCCAAGATAAGCAAGAAAACAGGCACCTTTTGGGCTGGAGGCCCTGGAGGCAGGTTGAGCCTTTGTCACCTGTATGAGACCAGTCTGAGCTGAGTGTGGCCAATGGAGTAGCCACAGGAGACCTTCCTCACAAGCAGTGAGGGGTCAGGGCCCAGGTCAGCACAGGGTAGAGGGTCCTGGAACCTTCTCAGGATCACCGTGTTCTCTCCTCCAGATCCCCACGCAGCTGTGCCTGAGTCGTTGGTGCCTTACCCTAGGAAGCAGACCCATCATGGGCTCCTAGGGATCCCCTGGAGGACGTGGTGAGGAAGAAGGGAGGAGTGGTGCTCTGGACAGGCCTGTCCTTCTCAACCTCACCCTCCACTGCCCTTGACCTCCAACCTGTGCCTTGAGAAGTCCTTTCTTACTGCAGCTGGCCAGCATCTGACCCTTTGACTCAAGGAACCTGAGTTCGTCTTGAAGGACAGCCCAGTTCCCAGCACTGCACCAGAGGAACAGACGTCCTGCTGCCAGCCACCTGGAGCCTCAGCCTTTAGTGTCAGGCATGAAAGCTCCTGTGTCAGCCTGGAACAGGCAGGGAGGACCTCTCTGGAGCAAGGGAAGGAAGGCCCCTCTCAGGACAGGGGAGGGAAGCCAGCCCCGTCTCAGTCCAAGGACAGGAAGCCTGAGTCAGCACGAGGCCCTGGGCTGGAGGACCCACCGGAGTCCATGTCTCCAGCATCTCTGTCCCTGGTGAGGACAGGGAGCCCTGCTTCCCGGAACACAACTATGGAAGGGTGTGCTGGAGGCAGCCAGATGTACAGACGGGAGAAACACACCCGACCAGGTGGAAAGGGAAGCAGCTCAGAGCTGAGGGACAGAGCAGAGGGCAGGGCCATGGACTTCCCAGTGGACCAGGGCTGCCTGCCTACAGGTGGCAAGTGTTGGGGCAGCTCGGGCTGTGGGGGATGAAGGTCCCCACGAGGGTCAGAGGCACCACCACTGACCTTACGTAGGCAGCATGGCTAGGGAAGGTTCTGCACAAGGGGTTCCCTTCCAGCCACAGCTCTTCCAGATCCAGCTCTTTCACTTTCTCCAATTCCCATGCTGTCCTCAGCTGAGAGATACAGGGAGAAAAATGCAAAAGGAGTTCCAGGGAGAGAGAGATCTAGGCCTCTGCTCCTTTAGCTCTCCTCCCTCTCCCACAGGTACTTTTGTCTGCAGGTTGTCACCTTCAACCCCTATTCCATCTGGCTCCCTCTTCTCACCTTGTTTGCAGAGAGGTTCAGGATCTTGACTTTGGGGGCCTTCTCAACAATGTCACACAGGCCATTCAGCTGGTAGAGTTTGTTGCTGCTCAAATTCAAAGACACCAGCTTCAGGGGAGGAACAGTTAGAATGTCAGTTATTATCTCAGACCTGGGAGATAAATATACCCTCTACCCCATCTCCTCCACCCTTTGACCTAAGTACCAGGCCGAGGCCTAGAACCTCACCTCAGAGAAATCACTTTGAATGACCTCCAGAGTAGCAGCCATGCAGTTTCTCCGATTCAGTATCATGTCAATATTATGGCTTACCAAATCTTCCAGAAGCCAAGAAAAGGGAATCAGAAATAGGAGAAAGGCCCAGCAGAAACAGTGCCAGCACCATCCCCTTTCCAAGTTGTCATCCCCATGCCTCCCACCCAGGCAAGCCCTCTGCCTTCACCTGTCTTGGAATTACTGCTGTCAGACATACCTCGGTCAAAACGGAGTCTCTGGAGGTCAAGAGATCGCTGGAAAGCATCATATCGCTTGCTCAGGGCCAGCTGCAGAAATTGAAAGAGAGCACAGTCTGAAACTTTGGGGTGCTGATGACAAGGAAATATGGGGGTGCAGGGAGAAGAGGCAGATCTGGGGAGTAGACAATACATAGCATGCCTTGAGTCTGCATTACCTTTAGCTGCTCCATTTGTTCTGGCTGCAACTTATTCTGCACAGAGTAGGGTACAACAGAGCGGCTGACAAAAATAGGTATCTGTGAAAGGAGGGGTGTGGTAAAAACTAGGGCCTCTAATTCCAAAGATCACCAGCCTCTGGCCCTGGGAATTAGTATAGGCAATGTCCTCAGCACACACCTTTTTGTCCTCATTATCACAAATCTTGTGGCTGACTTCTGCCAATGCAGCAGCAGTGCTAGCATCCTGGACAAAGAACCGGGCCTGATTTTTGACGTAGTGGAACTATGAGGAATGACGGCAAAAGAAACAATCTCAGAATGACTCCAGGCCTCACCCCCTTCCCTTTTGCCCGCTCATATGGCTTCACCATCCTCTCTTACATCAACCGGAGTGAAGGGGATAGCGCAATGGCTCTGGATTGAATTCATCAGCCATTTCTTGTCATAATTTTTCCCATATGGAACCTAAGTGTGAAAAAGGAGGAATGTGATGAGAGAGACGTCATAGAATTAGGGGCTGAGAAAGGGCTCAACCAACTATTCTTTTCCAACCTTTTACCTAGTTTTTGATTGACTGATTTTCATTTTATTTGAAAGACAGAGAGACAAATACCTTCCATATACTGGTTCACTCCCCCAAATGCCCACAGCTGCCAGGGCTGGACAAGGCCAAAGCCAGGAGTCCAGAACTTCATCTGGGTCTCCCATGTTGGTGGCACAGACCCAAGTACTTGAATCATCGTCTGCTGCTTCTCAAGGTCTCCATTAGCAGGAAGGTGGATTGGAAGTGGAATACCTGGACCTTAAATCAGGAACTCTGATATTGGGATATGGGCATTCCAATCTGGGACTTACCTGCTGTGCTGAAGGTCCACCCTTCTACATCGTTTTAAAGGACTTCCCAAGAAGTGACCGTTGACAGGATTTCTTTCTTGCGTGCCAAATACAAATTTCCTACACTCCTCTTCTCTTCATTCAGAATCTCTCCCCACCAAGTCAACTTCAGGTATTAATGCAATCTTCCTTCTATAAAGTTTCAGAATATTCTGTGTATTGAAGAAATTGTTAAGACACTCACCATGACCTTGAACCAGATATCCGTGGCTTCATCCTTTGTGTCCTTATTATTTTGTCTCTCTAGAGATTTCTTCTCTCTCCATACAGTAATATGGATTTGGTCATCATAGCGCCATTGCACTGTCCTCTTGTTGCGACGCACATCATAAGGAGTGCTGGAAAAAGAAGAGGGCCCAATATGTGCTAAGACAGTCTTCTAGAACCCTCTTCTCACTGATACCAGGACTGCAGGTAAGACTGCTCAGCCATTACTGCACTTCTAGCAATCTTCAGTCATTCCATGAGAAAAGAAAAAAAAGATCACGGTGAAAGAGTTGCATGGTTCTAGGGCCTGCTTCACACAAACCAGGGCTGCACAGTCACTTACCACCGCCTTTGAGAGTCCCTGTGGACATTCCTCACTGCTGTATTTCCATCATCATTGAGGTATGAGGGCAGATGCTCATATCTACTGTGTTTATCATGAACGTTTCCATCACCAACAGTATCCTGGAAAGAGCTCTCAACATTCCTTCCTGCATCAGGAGAGCTCGCATCATCATTATGTTCTGAAATTTGGAATAAAAATTAAAGTCTGAAGATACACCAATGGTTCACTTACCATGTATCATGTTATAGCCAACAACAACATGGTAGAACAAGGAGCGAACAAAGTGCCAACCTGCCCTGTGGGAATCAGTCATACAAACCCCAGAAATCAGACTCCCCTGCCTGTCCAGATATCTCAATGATGGCACATTAAGGGAGAAATCCTGAAGGAGGAAGCACCTGTGTTGAACCTTGTAAAAAATACAGTAGGATTTCAGGCTGGCAATGTGGCACAGTGGGTTAAGCTGCTGTCTGCAGTGCTGGCATCTGATATGGGCACCAGTTCATGTACCAGCTGCTCCACACAGGATCCAAAAAAATAAAGTAAGATTTATAAAGAACAGAAGTGTGTATACCCATGGGTTAGACTGGCATCAGCCACATGCCAGGAAGCTGTCCCAATCTTGCCTTCCTTCAGGTTTTTTAAAGATTCATTTATTTTATTTGAAAGGGAGAGAGAGAGAGAGAGAGAGAGAGAGAGAAAGAGAGATCTTCCATCGGCTGGCTCACTTCTCAAATGGCAGCAACGAGCAATGGCCGGAGCTGCACTGATCCAAAGCAAGGAGCCAGGTGCTTTTTACAGGACTCCCATATGGGTGCAGGGGCCCAAGGACTTGGTCCATCCTTCGCTGCTTCCACAGGTGCATTAGCAGGAAGCTGGACTGGAAGTGGAGCAAGCTGGGACTCGAACCAGTGCCCATATGGGATGCTGGCGTCACAGGCAGTGGTTTTAACCTCTGTGCCACAGTGCTGACCCCATTTCAGGGTTCTTTAACAACTGCGGGAACACCTGGGAGGCAACCTTTCTCACACCTCCCAAATCCAATTGGCTACCACACTGATTCTGGGCAAGCTGAAATTCCTTTGCTGGTGTAGAGAAAGCTTTAAGGACAGGTGAACCTGCTACAGCAGCCTCCTGGACTGTCTGCCTTCTTCTACCATTGTTCTTTACAATACCTGGTTTTAAATATCCACAGAGAGCTTTCTTTTGGCCCTTCCTGAAATGCTTTCTGCCCAGGAGACAACACTTCCTAAACCCGATTCTTCTGTAAAAGGGTCTACATGGCAACTGGAATTTCAAGCATCGACTATAACTTCCAAATGTTTAGAGAGACTTCCCTGTTATCCTTCTGTTGTTCAGTTCCCTATTGATTCCATTGCTGTTACAGAACATTGTCTATGTGATTTTAGTGCTTTTAGACTTGTTGAGGTTTGTTTGATGGCCCAGGAGATGCTCTACCTTTGTGAATGTTACAAGATACTTGAAAAAAGGAAAAACTAGAAAACAGCAAATTGTTGTTGTTGGGTAGAACATTTATTTTTGCCATTTACACACAGTCATTGTACTGATTATATTATTTAGTGTTTCCACATACTTGCTGCCTTTCTATTACTTGCTAAGAAGGGGGTGTTGAAGGTCCCAACTGTAACTGTAGATCTGGCTACTTTTCCTTTCAGCTCCATCAGTTTTTATTTCATGCACTTTGAGACTCTATAGTTTGGTGTGAAAACATTTGGGATCCTTATGACTTCCAGATGGATTGATTCTTTTATTGTCATGTAATGCCCCTCTTTGTCTCTCACTAATTTTCTTTGTCTAGTCATCTTGTTTATTGGAGAATGTAGCCTCAGGTGTGCTTACAAAGCATTTTGTTTATAGTTCACCCTGAGTTCACTCCTCGAAATACCACCACTCCTGCATGTGTCCTGTCAACATATCTAATTCACCATGTGGTGAGACTTGGCTTGTCTTCTCATTTTTCTCTCTCATAGGTAGATTCACTAAAGTTATTTTCTTTTTGACACAGCCAGCTGAAATGATGTACAAGCAAATGATAATAGGAGTGCTTTTTGGAGAAAAGAGTTAAGGTAATTAGATTATTATAAATCAGCTTCCTATTGGATTCTAGTAAAGTTCTCTAAGTCTCTGTGTTATGCTTTTTGTACATTAATTACTCCATGTTGTCTCAGGACACACATATGAAGAAACCTTGGTTCACTCCTGATCATTTTACAATCAGACAGATTAACTTCTTGCTGGGCTAGGTAGTCATTACTTTCACTGTTTGAGTTTTGACCAGGATAATTCTGCTATTCACAACTTCTGGGATTTTCCCTGTATGGCACTGAGCAGGAATTCAAATTTGAGTAGAGTATTTGACCCAGACATTCCACTTAGTAGCTCTCAAAAACTTGGAAGTAGACTTGAGTACCCTTTCCCTCATACTCTACATCTCTCAACAACTCTGTTTTCAAACCATATCCAGAGTCCATACACTTCTCACTTTGTCCAGGGGTGCCACCCTAACCAGGTCACCAATATCTATCTCCTGGGTTATGGTACTTTCCAACTACACCTCCACTTTTACACTAACTCCCTTACCATCTATTTTCAATACAGCAGGCAGAGAGGATTTTTTCAGGTGTAAGTAAAATTTTGCCATTCCCCTGCTCAAAACGTGGTAACAGGAGTTTGAAGCCTCCTTCAACATGTTAAAAAGTTGTAAGTCCATAATGATTCTCAAAAGCAACAACAAAGAAACTTGCTGGTGACATGTGTAGAATTCTAGAAATATAACTCACTTTCATGAAAGTCCACAAATGAATGAAAAAATAAAATATCATCAGGGTTGAGGACACTTGGTCAAGGTATGGAGTATAGGAAGCATCATTTTTGAGAATTAAAAATTCCTTCATTAAATGATGCCACTGAGGGAAAAGTGTAAAATTTGAGTTACCTAACATTTACAACTACAATCTCAGGCAAGGCTGCTTTGGGAATCACATAGCACTGTGCACAAATGATGCAAAGCCACAGAGAGCCCTGATAGAGAAGCCAAAGACAAAACACACACTGGGGCATCCAACACTGAAGTCTTGCATGTCTGCACAACCCCTGTCCTGTAGCTGTGCTATCAGAATCAAAGGCAATACAGGCATGTTAGAAAGCAGTTAGGGGCTGGTGCTGTGGCATAGTGGGTAAAGCCGCTGCCTGCAGTGCCGGCATCTCATATGGGCGCCAGCTTGAGTCCCGGCTGCTCCACTTCTGATCCAGATTTCTGTTGTGGCTTGGGAAAGCAGTATAGGATGGCCTGGGTCCTTAGGCCCCTGCACCCGTGTGGGAGACCCGGAGGAAGACCTCTCTCTCTCTCTCTCTCTCTCTCTTTCTCTCTGCCTCTCCCTCTCTCTGTGTATAACTCTGACTTTCAAACAAATAGATAAATATTAAAAAAAAAAAGGAAAGCAGTTAGTGGGGGTGGGTGTTTGGTGCAGTGGTCAAGATGCCACTTGGGATGTCACCATTCCATATTAAAGTCTACGGGACTGGCTGTCATTTCTGTTTCCAATTCCAACTTCCTACTAATGTGTACCCTGGGAGGCAGCACCCTAGCTCAAGTACCAGAGATGTGAGATATCTACTGAGAAAAGCTACCAGCAGTGAGGCAGGCCAGCTTGGGAAGGCTTCAGACATCAGCATTTAGCCTCAAGAGAGCAGCCATGTGGGCAAAGACCTTCAGGGCCATGGAGTCATGGAGGCCTCCACCTGGATCTCAAAGGATGTATAGGACAAACTGGGAGCCAAGACAGAGATTGGTTCCAGGAGCAGAATCATTGCAAAGAGCTTCCACTTGGGCAGTGCCTAGTGGAGACACAGAGATGAGATCCCTATCTGTGAAAACTCAAACAGGCTGTGGCAAGCAAAGCAATAAGAGCATGGCCGCGCAAGCCATTGGGAGATGAGCCCTCAGCACAGTGTGAGGATGTCAGATATGGAATTTATGGACTGTCCTGCTGGTTTTTAGTCTTATTTTGGCCCAATTATCCTATTTCCTTTTCTCCCCTGTATGGAATGGAAATGCATACCTTTTTATGCTTCACAATTGTACATTGAAGTATGTAACTTGTTTACGAATTATGCAAGAGTCTGCTTTGAGTACCTGATCAGACTATGGACTTCTAAATTAATGGCAGACTAAGAGTTTGGATATTTGGGTGATGGGACTGTATGCTGTATTGAAAGAATTTGACTTTTTGGGAGCCAGTGGTGGAATGTTATGGGTCAAGTAGCATTTGCCTGACCATTTAAGAGAGTAACATACAATGCAGAAAGCGGTAGGTATAGAAACAGCATGGACCTTGAACTCATAAATATCTGATTTCTGCAGTCACTTAGGGCCTATGTAATTTTAGGTAAGTAACTTAATCTCTCTGAACTTCAATTACTTCTCATGGTAGTCAGGTGTTTCCATTTCTCCCTACCCCCTCCACTCCTCAACCCCTCTCACCCCACCCCTGTTCCAGGCACCTGGTAAAACTGTACTTCATGACCACTTTCCTTTGGGTGGAGCTATGTATGTGATTAGCTCTGGCCAATGGCTTGTGAGCAACATGTGTCATGTCTAAGCCAATATACATGGTTGATGGTTTGAGATCCTGTAGAACTCTCACCCTCTGGCAGGATGACTAATCACTTTCTGGATGGTAATGGCTCTGTTTCGGTCTCTGAGATTTTTCAGTAAGAATTACTTGAGACCCCAACATTCAGTACCCTGTGAAAGATGTGCACCTGCCATGGACATGTAATCGGAGTGAGAAATAAGCCATTGAGGTTTTGAGGTTGCCTATAACCCAGAGTATTGCCCAGCTTCTCCTCGCCAAAATATCTCATCTGAAAATTAAAATAACACCCTTCCAGGATTTCTTTTAGCTAGATGAGATAACTTATATGAAATAATAACAAAATGGTTTTGACAAAGTGTGGAAAATCTGTATAAAACGAGGGGTATTATGTCTGCTAATCCTGACAGATAAATGGTATCTTCTGTTCAAGAGTGAGGCACTTTACTTGTCGCTATATATAACACTTCCAAATAACTTGCACTTATGGACTTACTTCTTGCCATCACAATATTAGAAATATGCTATAAAAAAGGGAAAGTTTCAAGCATGAGAGAGATTAATGAAAGAAGAAAAATGAGTTAAAAAGAATAACTTCTTAAAGAATAATAGATTACAATAATTATAAACATACAGTCCACTGTTGTTAGTAAACAATGGCAAAATTTAAAAGTGGTGGAAGATTTAGTTTCAACAGGGTGTCCTTAAATATTTTGTGAAAAAACAATATTTTCTCAAATGTTCTGTGGAAAAAATATTCCATTCCCATGTAAATTGGGGAAATTATGCCTCCCTCCGTGATTCAGATTTTACATTAGCAGATTATCTAAAAAAACTTCTACAACATGGAATTACCTTTATTTTCATGGTTCTCATATTTCATTGATGGTACAGCATGTTCCTGTTGCTGTTTCTCAGACTCAGTGTTTTGCAGAACTACCTTTGAATTACTGTGATGAGAAAAAATAGAATATTTAAACTATATATGATGCATAATTAACATGTATTACTATGTATATATTATTTCATATATATACTACATTAGATCACTACCCAAACAGTACTTAAATCCTCCATAAATGTGAACATAGTCCTTTATTTGTTTACTATTCAGCACTTTTTTCAAGACTTACTTATTTAAAAGGCAGAGTTACAGAGAGGCAGAAGCAGAGAAACAGAGAGAGAGAGGTCTTCCTTCTGCTGGTTCACTCCCCAGATGGCCACAATTGGCTCGGAGCCAAAGCCAGGAGTCACGAGTTTTCTCCTCTGGGTCTCCGACGCGGGTGCAGGGCTTTCCCAGGCCATTAGCGGGGAGCTGTATGGGAAGTGGAGCACCTGGGACTCGAAGCCACACCCTTATGGGATGCGGATGCTGCAGCCAGGGCTTTAACCTGCAGCAACTTGTTTGTTTTTTTTAAAGAGCCAGGAGGGTCCTGCCCGCACCGCCCCTCTCAGGAAAGGGGCGAGCGGACCACCCGCAGTCAGTCTCCCCGCCTCCCTACTCCTCTCTGGCATACCTGCCTCCTCCACCCCTTCCCAGACCCAGGACCGTGCCCCGGCAGGGCTGTGAGGAGACCGCACACCTGAGAAGAGGGCACCAAGGGCCACCTCCTGCAGCTCCCCTGACTCTTTGGGTCTGGCGGGGCACGCCTACGCCCACGCCACACCTGGGGGCCAGCGTTTAGGCGCGCCAGACTGGAGACTCGCGGCTTCGCCTCTGCCCCCGCGCGGGGCAGGCTGCTTTCCCAAGCGCATTGGCAGGGAGCTGGATGGGAAATGGAGCAGCCAGGACTCCAACTGGAGCCCAGATGGGAAGTGGGAATGCAGACTCTGCGGGCGGCCGCTCTACCTGCTGTGTGTACCCAACCTCTGGCCCATTTAGTACTATCTTCATTAATTTTGTGAACTGTAAGTATCACCCATAATTTTATTTAATAATAACTTTTTCCACATTAAGTAAAGAAGAGAATTTTCAAAAAGTATAAGAATGAATGCTTAGAAAACCCGAGGTGAGGGGCTGGGGAGACCAGAGGGAAATAGTACATGGCTGGACTAGTGTAAGCTACTTAAAAATCTCAAGTACAGAATGATGGCACTTTGAAAAACATATGGCTTAGTAAATAAAAGGAAAATTCTTTAGAACAAGATTTATTCATCTGGAAGGCAAAGTGAACAGGGAAGTAGGGAGAGAAAAAGGCAGGGACGGAAGCGGGGAGAAAGATCTCTCTGCTGGTTCACTCCCCAGGGCTGTGCTAGCCCCAAGCCAGGACCCAGGAACTCCAGACGGGATGGCGGGGGGCCCAAGACACTTTCTGCTGCTTCCTAGGCCCAGAGGCAGGCAGCCGGAGAAGCAGAACAGCCCGGAGCTGAACCAGCACTTGGCTATGGGAAGTGGGCGCCGCAGGTGGCTTAGGCTGGCGGCGCAACGCGGGCCTCAAGAGACAAAAATTCTTCATTTTTACATGGTAGCTACTTTCACACTATTATAGCTGTAGTAAATTATTTCAAGTCTCGCTCTCTTATTTTTATTTTTTAAATTTTTTTTTGACAGGCAGAGCGGACAGTGAGAGAGACAGAGAGAAAGGTCTTTCTTTTTCCGTTGGTTCACCCCCTGGTTCACCCCCCCCCCCTCCAATGGCCGCTGCGGCCGGCGCACCGACTGCGCTGATCCGAAGCCAGGAGCCAGGTGCTTCTCCTAGTCTCCCATGGGGTGCAGGGCCCAAGCACTTGGGCCATCCTCCACTGCACTCCCGGGCCACAGCAGAGAGCTGGACTGGAAGAGGGGCAACCGAGACAGAATCCGGCGCCCCGACCGGGACTAGAACCCGGTGTGCCGGCGCCACAAGGCGGAGGATTAGCCTAGTGAGCCGCGGTGCCGGCCTCAAGTCTCGCTCTCTTAAAAAATTATTTCAAGTCTCGCTAAAAAAAAAAAAAAAAAAAAAAAAAAAAAAAAAAAAAAACCTCTCCCTCGTTTGCAGAATCAGAGAAGAAGAGAAGAAAAGGCGATGAATTTCGTGCAGTAGTCACTGGCAGTAAGGGCAAAGGCAGTAAAAAGCCGCGTGAGAGAGAAGGATGAGGGCGGGGACAGGCAGCGCCCCGGCTGACAGGGCGCTGAGATGGCGCTGAGAGGGCGGGAACAGGCAGCGCCCAGGCTGAGAGGGCGCTGAGAGGGCGCTGAGAGGGCGGGGACAGGCAGCGCCCCGGCTGACAGGGCGCTGAGAGGGCGCTGAGAGGGCGGGGACAGGCAGCGCCCCGGCTTTGGGAAACTGACAAGCCCAGGCTTGTCGGCGCCATTTCCCCCCGCCTCAGCCTCTCGCCCCACCAAAGTCCCGAAAGTCCGGCCCAGGCTCCTCAGAAGGCCAAACACTGCCTCAGTATACACTGAGGAGGACAGATTAACATGGGATTTAGGTAACCCGCGGGACGGCAGCGTTACCTGGCCTTCAGTTTGCTGTCTTTTCGCGGCAGCATGATTACCGCTACCGCGAGGCTCTGGGCGTAGAATCTTCCAGAGACGCCAGAGCAGAGTCTCGCGAGACCTTAGGGGGCCACGTGATCGACAGGAGTGACAACTGTCCGACGGCTGTGGGGTTCACGTGACCTAAAGGGCTGCGCTTCAGCGCCGTGGTGGATCCTTGGGGTCGTGTGGGTCGATCGGTGGTGTTCTCGAATTCGTTGCGTTTGGGTCGCTAAGAGAGCAGACTCACTGGAGAAGTGTGAAGCAGGCGTGTAACCATAGCAGAAACTGCCCAAACCACAGTGAGGGCTGCGCTAGCCGCGTGGCACTTACAATCATTTTACTGCGGCGCTGAACACATAATTTTTTTTCCGAACTGAAATATTAAACTGACCGATTTGGTTGAGTCTCCTGTGACTATAATGTGACATGTGACAATAGGAAAAACTGTGAACACGCCAGCAAGGGCTGGCTGCGCTGGCCACATGGTGATTACAATTTTTTCCCCCATTTCACAGGTATATAGGGTTTTAGAATTCAAAATGTCCACGTGACTGAGAAGGCAGTGAATTAACACCTTGACAGTAGGGACACAATATAAGTGAGATATCACCAGTTTACAAATTATGCCTCCACTTTGCCTTTGTCATAGCTTGTTTCCTACCACTTGTCACTTTTCAGTACTTTATGTTGAATACTTTCTGGATCCTTATGTTGGAGTGTGGATCTCTTCAAAATATGGACTACGGGAATACTCGTCATTACATAAAGCATAATGACAACGTTCTTCTTCACGTGGTACCTCAATGGTCAAAGAAAAGCATCTGTAACTCTACACTCGGGTCTTCTCACCTAGGGAACATAGATAGGTGGGCAGCGCAGAAGCAGCCTCCGTTGGCCTGGGACAGCAGTCCGCCCCTTGCTACCTGCGACACCACTACATGCTCTCCTAGGCGGTGCCAACGGGCCCCACCCCTCGAAGGGAGGGGTCGGTACCCAGAGAACTGGGTCCTGAAAACAGGGTGTGCCGGAAAGGTGGCAGCCCCCTCTCCTGTCACAGCAGCACGTTGGCAGGGAACCCAGCGCTACACCAGGTGTAGGAGGGTTAGGCATGTGCAGAGCAGCTCCCGCGCTGCGATCTATTGAAAGTCAGCCCTGACTCAAAGGTTTGTCCCGCGGGCCTGCACGCGGCTGGTCGGCAGGGGTGGTGGCGGGTCGCCTCTTTCCTTACCCCCTCCGGGCAGCAAACCCATCCTGGCGGCTGCCAAGGCGCCAGCGAGTGCCAGGGCAGTGCGGTGCCGCCTGGGGCGGCCTGGGGTGGGAGGAGCGGCAGGGGAAATGGGACCGCGCAGCCAAGAGGGCAAGCGTGCACGCGCTCGCCCGGGGGCAGACCCGAAGCCGCGGCATGGGGAGTGGGGTCGCGCGGTCCAGCGTCCAGCCCGCCCACACCCCCCACCCCCCACCCAACCCCATACCCCCCCCCGAACCCCCGGCCCGATCAGGGGCAGAGGCAAAGCCGCGAGTCTCCAGCCTCGCGCCCCTAAACGCCACCAGCGCTCGCTCGTCCCAGGTGTGGCACGGGCCCTGGCTCAGAGAGTCCGGGAGCTGCGCAGGTTGGCCCTTGGTGCCCTCTTCTCAGGCGTGCCTTTTCCTCACGACCCTGTGGGGGGCACGGCCCTGGGTCGGGAAGGGGTCAGAGGAGGCTGGTACACCAGAGAAGAGTGGGGGCGGGGAGACTTCCTGCGGGTGGTCCACCTGACACTTTCTGCAGGCAGGGGGTGTGTGGGCCAGGCCCTCCTGGCTCTTTAGAAAACAAACAGGCAATGTGAGTTAAAGCCCTGGATGCAAGACCCACATGGCCTCCAATTCTAGTCCCAGCTGCTCCACTTCCAATCCAACTCCCTGCTATGGCCTGGGAAAGCAGTGGAAGATGGCCCAAGTCCCTGGGCCCCTGCACCCGCGTGGGAGACCTGGAGGAAGCTCCTGGTGCCTGGCTTTGGCTCCGCACAGCTCCTGCCTTTGTGGCCATCTGGGGAGTGAACCAGCAGATGGGAGGCCCTCTCTGTCTGTATCCACCTCGTTCTATAACTCTGGTTGTCAAGTAGATAATACAATTACTATTGCTTCTTACAAGAAACTCACTTCACCTCTAAGGCCATGCCTAGAGTGAGAGGGTGGAGTACGATGCTCCATGCCAGTGGAATAAAAGAGCAAGAGTGGCCATCCTTCCATGAAATGAAGCAGATTTAAAATCTGAGGCAGTGCACAGGGAAAAGGAAGGGCACTATATCATGCTACAGCCCCCATGTCAGCAAGAAGGACTAACACTCCCTGGGGCAGGAATTGGGTCTAGTGGTTAACTTGCCACCTGCTGCCACATCAGAGTGCCTGGTTTGAGTCCTGGCTCCGTGTCAGACGCAGCTTCCTACTGTTGTGTGACCCTGTGGGGCATTAGATGATGGCTCAAGTACTTGGGCTCTAATATTCATAGGGGAGACCTGATGTGAGCTCCAGATTCCTGGCTTTGGCCTGGCCCAACCCTGACTGTTGGGGGCATTTGGGGAGTGAACCAGCAGATACAAGCTTCAATCTCTCTGTCAGTTTCTCTGTCTGTTTCTGCCTTGCAAAGAAAATACAAAATGTTTAAAAAGAATTACTAAATAAAGAAGAAAACACTTGTCAAAACATATGCACCCAATACTGGAGCACTTGAATACATAACGCAAATATTAATATACCACAAGGGAGACAGACTCCAATACAATAAGAGTAGATTACTCTAGCGCTCCGTTATATCTAGACAGAAAATCAACCAAATGTAGAGTCCTATTGCATCAGATCAGTTAGACCTGGCAAATATCTGCAGAATGTTCCATTCACTAGCTTTAGAATACCCATGGGACATGTACACATGGACCATTCTCCAGGACAGAGCATAGGGTGGGTCACAAAATAATTCAAAACAAATTCTTTTAAAGATGGGTTTGTTTGAAAGGTAGAGGGACGGAAAGGCAGAGACAGAGACAGACAGAGAGGTCTTTCGTCCACTGGTTCACTGCCCAGATGGCCGCAACAGCAGGGGTTGGAACAGACCTAAGCCAGGAGCCAGGAGTTTATTTACTTTTAAAGTTATGGATTAAGATTTAATTATTTACTTGAAAGAGTCACAGGGAGGGGGGATCTTCCATCCGCTGGCTCACTGCATTCGGTGACACTGTTTGGCTGCTTAAGAGGTTTACATGGCATGACTCCCTCAATGAGAGAACTCCGCTCCGTGTACTGCTCCCGTGGGCCCGTGCCCCTGTAAGCACTCTGCTGGAGAAATCCGGTGCTGCGTGTGAACCCTTCCTTCCTTTGGTGGCCATATCCCAAGGCGGGAAGCTCCAGCCTGGAGCATGCCAGGGTACACGCTGTCCCCTAGACTGGCCAAATAAAGCAAAGTGGGAAGGAGGAGGCTGTCACTCTTCCTAGCGCCCTAACCTGCATCACAGGAATTAAGGGCAGATGGGGTGCAGCTGGTTAAGCCACCTGAATGCCACATCAGAGCACCACTTGCAGTCTCAGCTGCTCCACTTCCCACCCAGCTTCCTACTAAAGCACTGGGAAATCCGCAGAGGCTGGCCAAGCATGTGGGTGCAAGATGGGAACGGAGGCCCTGGCTCTTGGTTTTGGCCTGGCCCAGTGCTGTCTGTCACAGCCATTTGGCAAGGGAAGCGAAGCAGTGGAGGGAAGATCAATCTCTCTTCTCTCTCTCTCTTTCTCTCTCTCTCACTCTTCCTCCATCCCTCCCTTCATCTCCCTCTCCCTTTCTTCCTCTGTTGCTCTTCCTTTCCAATAAATACAAGAAACGTTTAAAGAGAAAGGTAGTGACGAAATGCTAGCAGGCCCCACTTTCTAGGCGTTGGGGGGTGTCTGCGGCAGGGCCTTCCTGTCCCCCTTGTAACAGGATCTAGGTGTGATGGCCACTGTTGTGTATTGTCTGGAGTAAGTGCCAGGACCGTGATACATAGTGAACCATGAGTCTGCATATTTTTAGATGGGACAACTGTGGAAGTCAGTAGGCTGGGAGTGAAGCAGTTTGCCCTGCTTCATATTTGGTGGGTCTTAGCTGATCAGTTGAAGGGCTGATGAGTAAAAGGCTGACTCCCCTAAGCAGGAAGAAATTCTGACAGCACGCTGCCTTTGGACGCAAACTGCAGCTCTTTGTCAGTTCTCCAGCCTGTCAGCCTTCTCAGCAGACTGTGAACTTTGCAAGCTCTGCACTCGCTGGAGCTGAGTGTGTAACAGAAATACACACACACTACAAACAGGCATCCCATTCCTTCTGTTTCTCTGCAGAACCCTGCTTAAGGTGCCAGTAGTGAGGCAATTGCCGTTCCATGGATCACACTTTGGGTAACCAGAGAGTAGTGGACACACGGCCTCATCTGTAACAACATCCAATTCAGAATTGTTTGTGAGAGCAAGACTGTATCGAAGACCGTTTCCACCAACAGGACTTCAAATGGACATCGCAATCCATGCTTTCCGTGGGATAATATACAGCAGTGAAAATGAATCCCCTGGGCCTACAAAAGTTATGCCTTTTATACATCTGAAAAATGTACTGTGAAATCGAATTATTCAATGGAGGATAAGGGCACCTACATATAAAAACTATATATATATAAAAAAACATTTATTTTAGACATTTTGTCAAAAATGTCTATGCAGTCTACATACCAAGAACTGCACATGCGTGTGCAGGTAACTGAATGTTTGTTTCTCTGATCACACTCAGAGCCAATGCCCAAGTTAACAACAAAATGCTATTAGTATCCCAAGAGTCCTCACTATTCTACCACCTCCGTTTCCTTATTGTTCACGTAGGAAACGAGAGTATATTGTCATTTTAGAGGGTATGATTCCGTGAAACGATACTTATATACAGGTACCACATGATATGACATTCACACAATTTGTATACTCTCTCTGTTACCTACCAGAAATCAAGGAAAAAGCGTGCTTATTTCCCCCTTTTGGGCCTGCCTTATTCCCCTTATCATAATGAGCTCCGTTGTATCTATTCTGTTGCATTGGCGGGATTTCATTCTTTTTTATGG